GGCTAGTGTGATAATCACGATCTGCTAAGCTAGGCAGTTCGAAAAAAACAGAGGTTCGAGTTCCTAACTTAAAACCCGAGAAAAACCTGTTTTACGACCACCACCATTTGAATCAAGTGAGAATTAACTAGTTACTCTAATTTTGATTAAATGATGACAATTCCACCTTAATCTATCTTTAGCTAAGAAGAAGTCGACTAGAATCATTTTTTTTTGTCTTGTGTGAGAAATTTCCCTTGCAAAACAGAAATAAAGTTCGGGCCGGCCGGCTCGGAAGAATTTGAAGCCCGCCCGGCCCACCGGTCTTCGTTGAGAAGGCCTCCCCCCGACCCGGAATAAAGACCTTCTCGGGCCGGGCTGGGCCGAGCCGGGTCACCGGGCCGGGTGACCCGTTTCGAGCCCTGGTCAGTAGCTACAGATTGTATACAACGAAATATTTTTTTTTTGAGACTGATGAAATATTTAAAACATTGATTTCATGATCACTCTAGTGACTAATAGCGAGTAAAGTTTGTGCTAATCCTTGAAAACCGCATCCATTAACAAAATTAAATAATCTCGTAGCATACACGCGAAAATTTTTGATATTCTTTATGTTTTACATAAGTTGTAATCTGAGGTGTCATAATAGGTTTTAATGTACAACTTTCATGATGAATTTTAAAATGTTTTCTAATCAGTTTTCTGTAAAACATAAATTAAGATGGTTTTACGTTGAATACATACTATATAAAGAATCACGGTTCTTTTTTCATCTTTGCATGCAATCAGATGATTTTCATTACTCAATTAACCCATAAAGGATATCTCTATTAATAGTCATTATTTAAAAAAATGATATATTTTCATTCTCTTCATGGATTCAAATGCTAAAAAAGGTAGTTCGTGTCTCCTCAAACCTTTAGTTTCTATACCTTTGCCCAAATATAGATAACTAATCTGCAAGTTGCAGGATTCTAGTTGTAAGTTCTCAAAGATTTTATAAAATTAAAATACATCACAACATCGTGAAAAGCTACATGAAGGACGCCTTTTTTTTTGAACGACTCTTTTATTTAGTTCATGAAAGACGCTGCAATCCTTGAACTATTGTAACTTTAAATATAAATAGATATGTTTCTCATTTTTATAATTTGTATAACTTTCAACTTCTTCATCAAGTCTATGACTGAATCGGAGACTATCTTTACTATTCTCTTGCATGATGAACATGATTCTGTTTAAACTACTTTATTTTTCTTGGCTCAATATTATCTATAATTTCAATTAGAGTTAGTTAACTAGCGTGAATACAGCTTGACTTTCTACATAACTCATTTTTTTTAACACGAAATATTCTAAAAGTTTGTTTTACCTTCAAGAATGGCTTCAACAGCTACGTTCGATCAAAATAACTTGAAATTGTGAATTAAAACTTTTACATAGCAATTCTCTTAAACTGCTTAATTGTTGTAAGCGACATTGGTAACAGACAAGCTTGATCAGATCTAATAGAAGATTTATAATCAGTTGATAAGCGTAATCTCATGTTCTTTTATTTACTTCCACTTGAGAAAAATCTATTCAGCTATCAGTAAGCCATTGAGACGTGCCAAATTACGATTCAAGCAATCTGTTTTTACAGAATTACCTATTATTTTGTTTAGAAAACGTGTTGTCAACTTTTCTTTTTCTATTAAAAAGAAATAAAAATAAGAAAATGCTATATTTTAATTTCACAGAGAAACATTAACAATCTTGTTTATGTAGAAAAGAAAACAACGTATTCACTTGTACATTTCTTTACAACAAATAAAACGTGAAACTACAAATATTTTATTACAATTTCAAGCATAATGTTTCTTTGATCATTCAAGGATGGTTCTATTTAAGTATTGTATTCACTTTAAAATAAAGACTTTGAGGCGAAAATTATCAAGGATCGCATGCCAAATTAATAAAAATCATCAGCACTGTATGAGAATATCCTGATAAGTAGAGAACAAAGATTTAGAACTAAAAATATGATCGAAGATCACATGATAAATGTAAAATACAAACCCTAAAGACAATTTAGTTCAGCAATTTTCTTCGCATTTAAACGAACTCGGGTGTGGGTGTGGGTATAGGTATGCGTGTGAGTGTGTGCAAAAGGATACTCACACCCACACGCCACACCCACTCACACTCACACCCATACCCACACCCTTTCAGATTTTTTCAAAAATGGCTTTTATAATCACGGATCATCTTCTCCTGTATTTATCTTAATGTCGATAGTTTTGACAAAAAGTGATTATTTTTTTAGGGGGGAAGGTGCTTATGAAGATTCGTAAAATGAAGGCGCAACACTAGTTGTTAGAAGAGTTAATAATGTCTATAATACACATCATGAAAAAGAAAAAAAAATAGCTCGTCGAATTATTTAACCTTCATCAGCATCATGTCCTATTTTTTCTGCTTGATCATCATTATCATCATTTAATTGTGATGCTTTCAATTCAGTTAATGCCTTATCTATCATATTGAGATAATCTGTTCTTTTGATATGATCAAGTTGAATAGCACGCATAAATAATCGTCGAGCCCATTCAAGATACTTAATTGCATTTGTTTTATTCAATGTCTCTTCACTTTTTCTAAAGTGATATATGCCAATATCTGCCAATACTTTTGCAAAGACACCTGATTCATCGTCATATACTTCAATATGCTTTAAATATTCATCGGTCCATTCATGTAAATGTCTTTGACCACAGAAGACATAAATATAACCAGATAATTTTGTATGTATTCGAGGCATAAAAGTGACACCCATTTGTCCAGATACAATTAAAAACGGTTGTTTATTTGCTATTAGATTATCATCAATAAACTTTATACAGCTTTCTTCATCTGTAAACATTTGTAATACATTTTGAATTAAACTATTCCATTGTTCGTCATTCATATTTGGATCATCAAATCGAATTAAATTGTTAATATCATAAGAACGTTCATTTGATGGTATACAATCTACGTTAGCATTACTGGCAAGATCTTTTTTACTAGTTCGATTGTTTTGACTAACACCCATGTTTTTATCTAGCCAAATAATAACATGACTAGGTTTTATTTCAGCAACACTTGATGTTGTCATTTTGATTGATCAAAATCTAAAAAGATAACAGAGGATGTACTGTTTCATTAGTTAGAATAATTATTTTCTCAAAAACTAAAATAATTTATTGAATTTTTCTATGACATGTCTTTCAAATCACTGACTATAAAATCATAAATTAATATTATTTTTAAAGTATATGAATGCAATAAATACATCAACATGTTCGTTCAACAATGAATTACATGGCACCGTTTTTCTTAATAATTTCTTACAATTAAGTAGATTATCTAATTAATACTTGATCTGTAAAATGCCATTTATATATATTTTTTTCTATATTTAATCGATCATTTTAGCTGGGTGGTATCTCTTCAAACAATCTGAAATTCTATAATCTATATGTTTCGTGTTGATCTAATCATTTTTATCTATACAAACTATTGATGACTAAACGACGATGGATATCAGAACATTTCGATATTTGTTAGTGTAAATCTCAACTATCATATAACTCGAATACTTACCGTTATCTTATAAGTACAGAAGAATTATTTCGAATTGAATTAAAAGATAGAATTTACTAAGGTTAATCATAATAAATATTACCTGCAAAAAACAACCATCTTATAGTTTATTTTATCAGTGGAATTTTCCAATCCAGAATTTATGAAATTATTTTTTTCTTTCCTTTTGCATGGCAAAAATAACCAGTTTTTTTTAAATACAGGATGAAAAAAACCAATGCACAACGAACACAACAGAAGTATATGCTTCGAGAAAGATCACGAATAAAGAAAATCTATTACTCATATTCTCTCTTTATGGCTGGACAGAATAATTATAGCTTTGAATTAACACATCTGATAAAAACACCAACTATTTGTCGTGTAAAAAAAAAAACCTTAAGGCTGTATTAGAATTTGTGTCACAGCTTTATAAAATTCTTCCATGTTATTACATTTCCATTTTATATATGACAGCAAATTATTTTATGAACGTTTAAATACTTTATCTAATGTCATTTTTAATTCTGATCATTTCATAATTGAAAGTTTCTAGAATGACATATATTCATATTTATAAAACTTAAATCAAACAATATAAAAAAGCAATAAGGTTTTTATAATACCACAATGCGATCAATCATCATGATGAATGTTAAACTACCATTCGTCGAAATACAATCCAATCAGAAGATGAAAAATGAAATAACACCATGGTGAAGGATGAACACACGGCCATGATACTAGTTAACAAAGTAAACTGTGGAGCGATTTATTCACATCACAGAGTTTCAAATTTCATCATCTCGACTATATGACAATATAAAAATGTTCCTTGATTCACTATTCAGATATGTTTTTATTTTAATTAGAAATACCTGATCTTCTAATGTTACAGAAACAAATTCGATTTTTAGGCTTTTCTGATCCCCGTCTCATTGTCCAATTTGTCGACCTTTCTCCGATTTTAGAACTTTTACAAGATTTTACTTTTTACTATTATAATATGTAATTTAAAAATAATCTATCATTACGTCTATACTGTTTGAACATTTCTTGTAAATAGTTTTTGTCTCAAAAAGATTTATTACATCGAATCAGAAGGATGACAGATATCAACGGAGAAAATAGATTAACGTGGAATGAACTTCAGTTTCGTTTCTTTTATTTGAGCATCTTCAACTGCATGCATACCATAAAATATCTTTTAAAATGATGAATAACTTCTATTCAATATATCTTGGCAATAAAGTAAAACTCATATTACTCTATTGTGGAAAGTTCTTTCTCTTATTGGAACATTTTTTTTATAAAATCATCTTTGTAGATCTATTTTGAGATATTGTCTAGAATTTTTCTTCGTAAGCTACAGATATTTTTACGGGTTCTAAAAATGATTTTATACCAGAAAAATCCGCGTTTTGAACGGTATATTGTTCTCAAGAAAACTTTGAATAAGTTTTCATCATCTTATTCGGATTACACCTCAAATAGATCTTTATAATATCTGTCTATTTTACGGCTTTGTATGATGTAGTCATATATCATAGAAAATGTGAAGATGAGAGAAGACGAATTTTCTGGCCATAGAGGTTTTTTATAGAGAAATGTTCATTCTATAATTTAGTGTAATATCGAAACATTTTCTCTTTAGTTCAAGATATTTCTAAGTTATATCTCAAAAAATGTTTATTTTGTCTTGCACAATTTCATCTTTCAGTACTATCTAAAGAACATCTGTTGTTGTTAGTCAAAAGACACTAATGATATTTCGAAAAAAAAGGTTCGCGATTTCAAAGAGCAATGTTCTGACTTTGACATTTTTCATTTAGCAGCTTGGGCTTGAATATACTTTTCTAGCATAAAAAAATGAACCCATGAGCTAGAATAATATATCTTTTCTGGATAAGTATATGACAAAGTTCTTTCACTATACTGAGTGCAGACAGTTTCAACGTGGTATAGATTGTTCAATCATCAAACTAATCCTTGATATTCATATAATTGCTCTATATATGTGGCAGACGAGTTTGGAATCTAGTTGAGATTGGAATAGCATTTCTATATTTTATGCTAAAATTTGTTCTAAATGACAAAGAAATATCATTTATTGATATTTTACAAACGTTTTCCGTTCAATTCATTGCGAAGATATGTGTAAAAAATACTATTCGATTTATAGAAGGCGATAATTAGTTTTTCACTGATAGGGATATTGGGAACATTAAATTATTGGCTACTTTTATTTGAAACTAAATTCTTTTTTATCGTGGTGTAATCAAAATCTTTTTTTTTGTTATATTTTTTCAATGACGGGGACGTGCGGGACATTCAATAATTTTTTCAACGAATTTCTCTCTCTGTTTAACAGAATATAGCTGTAAAATCTTAGCACGGGACATGCGTGATATTAAATCATTTTGATTTCTTTTGAGAAAAAATTGATTTTCTTTCCATCTCGACAAGATTTACATCATCATTGTCATTATTAGCTTGTGGACATGCAATGATTTATTACGCGTTAGGATCAAGTAAAATTGCGAATTTGTTTGCGGGTCTATTTGTAGGAGCAGAGGTTCGATAGGGGTTTAAAAAGAGATTGGTGTAGTCTATTATTGATCGGAAGTATTTAAAAGACTTCAGCAAATCCATTATTAGTCGTTCAGCTCGAGAATATATGAATATCTGTTGAATTCTTGTTTGAGAAAGAGCCGTTTTTCTCTCCCTCTCTCAAAGCGTTAGATTGTTATTTTCAATATAAGCATCGGGACCATAGTGGCCAGAGCGACTATTTAAGAACAAGAAAGTTCTTTTTCAAAATCAGAAAACGATCAAAAATTCTTTTTGAACAATCAGAAATTAATAAGCAATGATAGGTTTTATTTGCAAATAAGTGGATGTTGTGCTATGATGCTGGCATCCAGAAGTGTGTTGCTTTTCTGTTCATTGGCTTAGAGTTTATTTTCAAAGGCGTTTCGCGAAAAATAAAGACAGTAAAATCAATATATCGTTTAGTTAGTACAAAAACACTGATAAATGACACAGTATTGAACTTTTTATTAAATTAAAACTCCGTTCACAAATGGAAATCGTATACGTACTGTGCATATTACAAAAATTCAACGGAAGAAAATGTTGTGCCATTATCTCAACATTGTTATTCATATTTTCTAGCTTTTCGAATTTACTCTGATAGGTGTTTTAAGATGATATATGCTTATAAAATCGTTCTTAAGAACAGCTACTTTTTATTTTAATCTTAAGCTAAGCCTTAACTGGTTCTCAGGGGCGTACCGAAGTCTCGAGAGCAGGAAGAAGGGGGCGTAAGGTATTTATTCATGTCAATTCAATGGCTATAGTCCCCAGAAAAGAGCTTTTTTTCTATTTTTTTTGTCCAAAGAAAAACAAAATTTTCAAAAGCAGGGGGCGTTGCGCCCCACTTGTCCGCTCGGTACGCCCCTGTTGGTTCTATATCCACTTGATAACGACAATCTGATTAGAAGTGTTTCATATAGTTGAAAATTGATTCGACATCAGAATTCAAACGAGAAAAAGAAAAGACGATAAATAGAGAAAAACGATGAAATACTATCGATCTATTATAATGTTGGGTTGTCATTGTACCTCATTTTATCAACAAAGCTGTAATCTGAAAATATGTCGAGTTCAAAAAAAATCAGGAGATGAGAAAAAAATCAGCAACATGTGCGAAATTCAGAATTTCATCCTATTTTTCTGAGGATCTACTCACCCTGATGAAAATATTCAATGATTGATTAAATTTTAATATCGAACAAAATATTGAATTTGTTTTAAGTTCGATTATTAGGGGGAGAGGTTCAGTAGAAAGAGTTCAAAAAAAGAGTTTCGGTAGTATCTTATTCATCACAACTGTCTCAAATACTTGAGTAAACCAATTATTCGTCGTTCACTTCGAGAACAGATGAATATGTATTAAAGTCTTTTTTTTCACAAAAATCGATCCTCCTTCCTGTTCTGAAAGATTTCCATTGTCATTTTGATTATAAGAATGGGAACATGGAAACATTCAATGGTTGATTAAATTTTAATATCGAGTAAAACAATGAATTTGTTTTGAGGTCGATGATCACGAGCATGGGTTCAAACAAAAATGTATGTAGTCTTTATATTGCCCATAGCTATCTAAAATACTTCAGTAAACCAACCATACGTTATTTATCTTGAAAATAGATGAATATCTATGAACTTATTTTTTCACCAAGAAAAAGTTTTTGCATGAAGCAGCTCACTAACAGAGTTTATTTTATTATGAGAAATCCAAGGGGGAAAAAGCGGATCCCGGGATCCAGTGGGATCCAGTGGGATCCAGCGGGATCCAGTGGGATCCAGCGGGATCCAGCGGGTTCCAGTGGGATCCAGTGGGATTCAGCGGGATCCAGCGGGATCCACTTGAATCCATTTGGATTCAATGTGATCCATTAGCTTCTATCAGGAGCAGGCATGCAGTGAGACGAAGGCTGTCTGCCTGAGCTGTTTCCATCTGTTTTTTTG